TTTTTTTTTTTTTTTTTAAGAATTGATCGATATTTGAATATTTCAACTTTAATTTTGTAAAATCTATCGCATGATGTCTCCCTCGAAACGGAACAAATTTTTTCTTTCTTTTTTTTAATAACGAGACGAATTAAAATGAGACACTCCGTTATATAATCATATAACAATTACAATTACAATTATTACAATGTAACAATTTCTTTTTTCGTATATCGTGCGTTTGCAGAATTTTTGGATGGATTTGCAAATTACAGCGTCTCCTTTCTTTAGATGTCGTTCAATATTTAATCATGAAATGGAAATTTCAATTCCCTAATGTCAGCGTGAAAGGAGGGCGAGAGTCAGAAATTGGTGGCTGTGAAATGGAGATTAGCGGGAGTTTATTAAACGAGTACTCTATACGCGCGCGTGTGTTACCGCCGGTGTAATTCTAAATAATAGTTAGGCGAATCGCGTGTAATTGCTCTGTAAAAACGTAGTAGAGAACGCTCGAGACTCGCGAGTGCTTTCTTTCTTTCTTTCTCTCGAAGGAACGCGTAGGTGAAAAATGGCAAATGAAGAGTGATCGCGTCATTCGAGAGCCTGCCCCTCTGTGCGATATTTGCTGGGATCTCCGTGCAGATTTTAGAATATCGATCCACTTTCGTTGAATATGCGAAACGTCAAGCATGAAACATTGTTCGCATTCTCGCTTTATCTCCGTGTTTTTTCGTCTCTCCTTCTTCTTTTTTTTTTTTTCCTCTGCGTAGGAACGAGGTGCCCTTCCGACTACCGCGAGAATAATCACGCCCGAGTGATTAACTGCAACATGCGCGACGCATTAGTTTGCATTTTAAAATTTTTTTTTAAATGCGACGATGTTGTTCAATAACGCTATCCCGCATTCACGCGCTACCATAAATCTGCTGTCGTTCGTTTAAAACAGACACGAATTTCATTAATAAATATACAGAAGAGTTGCCAACTTACTGCACTGCGAATCTCTTTCTGCAAGAAAGATAGGTTTTTAGAAATTCTGACGATTCCGCGCGCTGAAATTCTGAATGTGAATGACCGAAATATTGAAAATTCTGAATGCTGATGTAGCAACATTTCGAGGCTGAACATTTTATCCCTCGGCGAAGAAATTGGAGCGTCAGACGGATGAATTTGCATTTGTGTGTGAAAACGTTGCACATTCAAGACTCTCGAGAACCAGAGCTCGTTAAGCAACAACTTCTCTTCAAGGTATCAACGGAATCTCATTCTCGTCAGTGATCTCGATACGTGAAACCAAACTTTGATGTCGAAAGATTAATGAAGCTCGCGAACGCCATTCTCATCACATGCGAGAAGCATGCGTAATGCAAGCTCGAAATTTAGTGCAACAGAACGAAATCGAATCGATCGCGCGAGCCAGCCTGCGTTTACGTTCAACAGGCCGGAAATGGTGTGCACGTGTAACCGTGTTTTTAGAGGAATTCCATTTCCCAAGCGGACGATCGACTAATAATAGACGTGATAATATTTGCTCGACTGAAACGAAGCTGCTCCTTGCTCGAACCAGACGATTGTGCGTGTCCAGCGTTTGACGAAGATTATTTTCAGCGATTGATGTCTCGTTGACGAAGGAAAGCAAAGAAAAAGAAAAGAGAAAATCGATTTGGATCGACTTATCGAACATTGTCAAAGATATTCAAAGATATTCAAAGATGAATGAGTGAAAATTCACGCCTGCGAAGCTTTCTTTGAAATGGATTTCTGTGCGTTGAATTTATGACTCTCGCCTGGATTTCCATCTTTATAACCCGAAACGTTTCATCTTTGACCAGTTACTCAACAATTGTAAACATAATTTCGTTTAAACGGAAGTGATCAATCGATGATTAATCGCGCAAGTCGCAAACTATTCGACGGAATTGAACGGAATAATTGAAAATCGATCAATGGAAAAGTAAGTAACAATTCACCGAACGAATCGTCATTACGCTGGAAATTACGATTAATCTCGCGCGAAACGCAGTCCGTTCGATACTAAAATTGAAAACGATTAAATATAACTGGAAGAGTATTTTCGCGATCGAGACGGACAGCTGGCCCATTAACGTTTCCAGCTCTCACTCGGTGTTTCAAAGTCCACCTGGGTACTTTCCATTGTACACGTTCAGAGCAATCATTTCTGCATTTATAATTGATTCCATGGAATTATGAAGAGGAAAAAGTCCGACTGGATCGCGGAGGATTTAATTTAAAAATTGCAATTCACCACTTCTCGAGAACTCGTTCGACGAGCAAAGCTACAAGCTTGAAAAATGAGACGAATAATCGAGTGAATTATTCAATGGAATTGTTTCTCGAACGTTTTACGAGAGAATCCATCGCGATTGTCGACCCGCCTTACGATTATATTTTCGCAAAGACTATATTTCCTCGCGATCTATACACAGCATCGTCACGCTATTGCGGCTCACTGAGTCACGTTTCAAAACGTGGTCGACTGTAATAAAAATCCGGCGCGAGTCGTTTCAAAAAGAGTTCAGTCTCGTCACAGCTATAACAGGTGAATAATGAACCACTTCGAGCTCGCTGAAGTTAGTGAAACTGATGGATTGATTAAAAGATCGACGTGATTTAATTAGTCACATCTCCACGTGACTGTGACTTCTTTTTGAATGATCGGAGAAATGGAGCGTTAACGGAGCGAGACGAAATGGGCCATGAAAATGGAGAATGAAAGCTTCGCGTGGAAGTGTCAGTGAAGTTTGATCGTTTCACTTGCAACGATGTCACACACGCTTCGTTTAAAATCGTTCGACACGTAAAACTTTCGGAAATCGAATTCAGATTACTTGACACATATTGTGCATATAATATTCTGAAGTGTTCTCGAACACTTCAATGTCTGAAGAACTCGAAAGTCAAGGCTTAATTTTAATAAATTAAGGAGAATTCAGAAACGAGTTCGATTCAGTTGTTTCAACCTAAACCTACACGAAATGAAACAAAGAAAAGGAGGCAATTTATCGAACGAGAAAGAAGAAGTAAAGGAATGATGTGCCTCGGAGGCATGAACGATGGACACGGTCTCGTGTTTTTTTTCTTTTTTCCTCTGCCTCTCGTCGCTGCTTCTCCCTTCTTTCAACCACCGATCCGATCCGAGTTAATTAGCGACGCTCGTACAACGAGGCGATTCGAAATTCTAATTTATAATCCCCTTGAGCCAGGCCGTGGCGATGTAAATCGCCGCGGGATCGATAAACCCAGCTCGGTTGCATCGACCAGTGGAAAGGGTGGTGCTTTACAACTAGCCGGGGTGAAGGAACTCGGTGGATCTTACGATGGGCCAAGTTTTCCCGCACTAGCCCTCTGTCTAGTAATGTCCGCCAGGAAACGCAAGCTCTGACCAAGACAATTCAACCAACGTCCGTGTAACGACCAACATCGACCAACGCGATACTCCTTTCTCTTCCTTGACTTTCCACGGTAATAGATGTAATAGATGTAATAGCCGGTGACAGGGACATTTAAATGTAAAAAGAGATCGTAGAAGCCGAAAATGAAATTCGACGAGAAAAAAGAAAAAGGTTAGCGTGCGACTATATAAACTATCCGCCATTGTCCATTGTCTTTTCGAAAGTAAGGGAAAATAAGAACAGGAAGCAATTTCACCCTATCGTGAGTAGAACTCTCGGGTTGACGTGTGTGTTCAGTGTGAAAAGTAAATTAACCAAGGGGTGACACTCGATCCGTGTTAAACCAATTCACCAAGCTTGACCTTGGTCCAGTATTTCTGCAGAGCGCAATTAATTCTCGCTTAAGGAAAATCGCGCAAGTTGTTCGGTTAGGGTAACTACGTGCTGGAAGACGTAACAATAAATAACTGCGCAGTAACGTAACCGTTTCGTGATCTTGCTCGCGATTACCTGGCCTTAATGAGGCGGCGGTCACTTCATAAACCCGCTGATACCCGCGGATAAATTTTCCTGCACTTTGACCTTGATTAGCTACGCGACGATGCTCTGAAATTGATAACGAGAGATCTCGCGGAGCAATTCCGCTCCGTGGAAGAGAGAAATGGCCTCTCGACCGACAGGCAAACGCGCGGTTAAGCACGATTTCACGAACTAGCGAGTTTTAAGGTAACTCATAATTCTCGCCGCCGGAAGCCGCCCAGCGATTCTTTTCGTTACGCGACTCATCACGAAACGCGATTCGTTTTAATTGAGAATGATGCGCCGCTTTCGTGTCGCGTAGCCTGTCTTCAAAATAATCGAAAATCAAGCGATCAAATAAATTGAATTTTTCTAATATTAAATATTAATTATTTATTATATTAATATTAAATATTAATATTAAATAAGGAAAAAATATCTTTCCCCTCGGAAGCATGTTTCCTGTATTCTGTTATTTCTGAAGAAGAAAAGAAAGAACAAGTTCGATTATTTTTTCTTTCTTTCTTTTTTTTTTTTTTAGACCATGTTTGTCAACTTTTCAATCCGCGCGAGTTCACTTCGTCCGTAGGACGCGCAACCATTCGTATAAATTCCGCTAACAACGTGTCCTTTAATACGGATCCACATCGGATCCGCGACGATTTATTGTCGCTTCCGACGGCATAAATAGTCTCCGTGCCCGTACTGGATCTTTCCAGATTAATATCTCCCGGTCCCGATATAAATACGATTTCGTGAGATCAAGGAATAACGAGCGGCCGTTCAAAGTCGAAATTTCGCGGCCGGACGTGAAAAGTGGCGGCAGGTTTTAAGTCCTTGCGAGCGAATCGATAGAAACGTTACAAACCTAATTTCAACGCGAGTCGGCGGACCTCT